TGCACCATTTACCTAGAATCGGACAGAACTATATATGGGAGGGATGTGTAAAACTTAACCGATCTAAGCAAAAAATCACAGACGTCAAACTGAACTTAATTCAGTACACTGTACAAAAGTTTATCTAAATCGGAAAAATATTGGGGTTTTGGTGCACCATTTACATAAAATCGGCTAAATATATATATATGGGAGATATATCTAAATCTGAACCGATCTAAACAAAAAATCACAGACGTCAAACTGGACTTAATTCAGTACGCTGGGCAAAATTTGATCTAAATCGGACAAGTATTTGGAGTTTGGTGCAACTAAAATCGGACGAAACTATATATGGAAGCTATATGTAAAACTGAACCGACCTAAACAAAAATCACAGATATCAAAACTGGACTTAATTCAGTACGCGTCAAAATTTTGTCTCAATCAGATAAGTATTGAGAGTTTGGTGCACCATTTACCTAAGCTATATCGAAATCTGAACCGATTTCAACAAAAAAATCACAGACATCAAACTGGATTTAATTCAGTACGCTGTCCAAAATTTTATCTAAATCGGAAGAATATTGGGAGTTTGGTGCACCATGTTCATATAATCGGACGAAGCTATATATAAGAGCTATATCTAAATTTAAACCGATTTCAAAAAACTTTACAGACATCAAAATGGACTTAATATTGGGACAAAGTTTGGTGCACCATTTACATTAATTCGAACAAAAATATATATGTGAGCTATATCTAAATCTGAACCGATTTTCTCCAATTTCATCCTTGGGCCAAATACGTGATGCGACCGGCACTTTGTTTTTAATTTAACATCAACATATGGACCGACAGGCGGACGGACATGCATATATCGACTTAGAAAGCGATTCTATACACATTCTAAAAAGGAACCATGGGCCTATCTCGTTTCCTTTTGCCTGTTACAAACATATGCACAAAGACATAATACCCTGTAACACAGTGTGGTGAAGTGTATAAAATATGGAAAAATTCCAGCTCTTGGGGAAAAGTGAGAGATGTGAATAATAAAACCGTTGTACGTCGCTGAACAACTGGCTATTTAAATTCCAACGCCAAAACACACCAGGGGGTTTACTCTGTATTGCGTTGCGAAAGCTAAGTGCGTTAAGAGTACGATTTGGTACTCTGTAACGCTCACGCAAACGCATTCGCAAACTAAATCGAAAATAGGACAACACTGTCGCCACAAAGTAAACAATAACGAAGAATGACAAAAGGAAACGTCAAAAAATTTGAAATGAAAACATATTTTTGTGTGGTACGTGTGTTTTTTTAAACAAAAATGATGAACGAATTAAAAACAAAAAAAAAAAAAATTATGAGATCGATCAAATATATTCTCCCTAAGTGACCACGGGTATTAAAATAGAAGTACGAATTATGTGACAAACGTTTTCAAATATTTATAATACATTACTTTTTCCAACCACCGACATCTTTTACAGGATGTCAATTTGAATTGAGGTCATCAGACAGTTTTGTCCACAAATTGTTGGCGCGTTGTTTCGCATTTGAACTCTGCAACTGTCCCTTTGCCAAATCACTGTGTTGCCCCATAAAATCTACTTAAGTTGGGAACTGACGTTGCTGAGTCTACATCTGTGACTTTTTTGCCTTTTACTTAAAATAATTTACAATTTATATATAAATAAAAAATTTAATTGAGCTTACTTATATGTTTCGCTTCCTTTGCGTTTGCTATTTTGTTAACGCAAGATATTTGCGCTTAACGAACGAGTTTGACATGCGTTTTCGTATTACAGAGTGCGGTGATGCCACATTTGCGTAAACTAGATGCGAAAGGAGATACGAAAACGAATTAGAGAGTACCAATTACGCGAAACGTTACAATTTTTCTCACGCATCGCAATACAGAGTAACCCCCCAGAACATCATGTATGATCTGTGGAAAGAAAACATTCCGATTTACCTCTGGGATGATTTCTTTTGACAGATGAGGATGGCGACATGGATACAACAATGGCTTCGAGGTGGCTTCTACAAATCAAGGAGAATCATCGAAGGCAGTAGGAAGACTGACATCAACATTTTTTATTTTAGGTTCTTCAAAACACCCTTAGAGATCGCAAAATCTATTAAACTCAGACTCTCAAAGAATTTTCAAACTAATATTTCATGTCATACATATATTAAATGTTAATATTAAAATCGTTATATTCCTACATGTCAATGCATTAGACACATTGGTGCCAAATAAACCAACTCATCGACCCAAAAGAAGAAACATGAATTTCTATTTTAGCTTTTCTAGAAGCAGAGTCGACAGACAGCATGTCTTTTGGATTGAAATAAAAAAAAAGAAAATAAAATATAACATGCAGTCATTTATTATTCGCTATTCTATATTTAGTTGTGTGAAAATCTGTTTTTAAAACAATGCAATAAATTAATTTAAATTAAATATGACATAATTTGTTGCTGTTGCTGCCTTAACAACAGCAATTTGAAAATTTGGCAAATCATCATTAAGTTTGTTTCTATTTCTTGGCTTTGTGTATTAGCCAATGTCATGCTAAAGTTAATGCACCATTTGCCACATTTTATTTTTGTTTGTATAAAAATAATGCAGTGGGAAATTTGCAATATATTTGAAAAATTTAATGGCCTAGGAAATATAGTTGTCAGCGATGTTGTGTCAGTTACAATTGTTGTGTTGTTATTAGTTGAAACCCTTACGTGTTGGATAGATAAAAAAGCAGAATTATAAATTCAAATGTTGGGGAGACAAAAAATCAGGAAAAAAGAAACTAAAGGTACGTCTCAGGGCGGTGTGCTCCCACCGTTGCTGTGGCTATTGGTAATCAACAATATAATGATGGAGCTGGACAGGTAGGGTATCAAAAGTCTTTGCTTATGTGGACGCGCGGTGATATTGATTTCCGGTAAATTTCCGTCAATGCAAAGAGCCTTATCTACGCTGTCATGTTGGGCCAAGGCTAACGGCCTTGGAGTTAATCCAACAAAAACAGTAATGTTCACCAGAAAACGTAAGTTCTACGTCTTTGTTTCGCCAACACTGGATGGAATGCAGCTTCATCTCTCGCCAAAAGCAAAATATCTTGGCACGAACCTGGACAGTCAACTACGCGGGAACAGGAATGCTGAGGTGAGGGCAAAAGGAGGGCAGATTGCACTCTATATATGCAAGAATTCCATTGGAAAAAGTTGGACTATATACTGGATATATAACATTTATCCTATGGATGTCTTGTATGGTAACACTGCCTACCCCATAAGTCGACATCCAGCAAACTAGACAAGGTACAAAGAGCAGCCTCGATTCCTATAACTGGAGCCCCAAGTAACTCTGAACGAAATGCTGAACTTAAGGCGTAGTGCCCTGAGGCTGCATGAACAAAATCTTTGGGGAAATTGTGCTTATTGGCATGAATTTATCCTGTACGACCAACGTGGAAAACTAAGCGACTATATACCACCAACACTGAGATGTTACGATATAGATGATGTCGTTATCATCAGTAGAGACGATTGGGAATAGTAGTAAGAACCCTCTGGACGGTCTGGCTTTTTATACAGACAGATTAAAGATGGAAGAATGTACAGGGGCTGTCGCCTACTGTGAAAGACTAGACCTTGAGCTTACCTACAAGTTGAATAGCAAGTGTAGTGTTTTTCAAGCTGAAATCTTCGGGATTTTGAAGGTAGCCGAATTGATAAAAAGTCTGGATGCAGAGCTCGTTGAACCGGTGACTATCTTTGTAGATAGCGGGCGGCTCATAAAGCCATCAAATCCTGTAACACCAAGTTTGAGGTTGCCCTCGAGTGTAGTTTTGGAAACACTAACAGCTATCGGCTATGCTGTATACCAGGACACAGTGACAGCATGGGTAATGAAAAAGCAGACGAACTAGTTAGACGAGGATCTTAATCTACAGATCTAGCAATTTATGACTTAATTAAACCATCCATCTGTCACCTTTTCCGGAATTTTGAGGGGCTCTTTGGCGAACGAACTTTGGCACAACGAATCTAGGTGCAATGTGTCAAGATATATCTGGCAGATTCTGTCAGCCAAAAGAACAAACTCACTGCTGAACCTGAGCAAAGCTGAAATTAGAGTAATGGCAGGAGTCATTACTGGTCATTGCAATATCAGGGCAATGATATATAAGTGAGACCATGATGTTACTGATTACTGCAGACTCTGTGACGACGGAGTGGAGAAAGAGACAATTAAACAGCTCCTGTTACCCCTCCAGTTCAGTCCTACAGACGGCATAGATCGACATCGACACTTTTTACTACGTACTTCTTTATTAGCTACTTGTCTTCTCTATGAATAACGTAACCTATGCATGGACTGAACGGTTTGGTAGATATTTTCTACATCATCCGTTGTTCCTCTCACTCTTTGCTACGACTTTCCATAGTTATTTAAATTAGTATACCAATATAATTTTCGATCAATCCATACTAACGTTGTAAAACATGAAAGAGGTTCAATCATGCCTTTTTTCAGGGCTCGGAACCGATGTTGATCGGTTTATAAGGAGAAACAAAACCCCATGTTCATACCCACAGCTTTATGGCTGCTACGACTAAAAAGGTGCCTCAGAGAAGTATTGGATTTGAGACCCTACATACCTTTTGAGCAAATTCGTTTTAGACATTTTGGACTCGATTTTCACATTTTTACCAGTCCTGGAATATGTCCGATGATAGGTCTCCTCTGCCACAAATCTATATTTTTTGGGTTAATTTGTATTTTAATTTTTTATTTTGTGCGATAAGCCCTTGGTACTAGTTCTGCACTATTCAATTTTTTCTTGAAATCCGTAAAAGACTGTCAAGACGTTCTCTTGCAGATTTGATTTAAATTTTTGATAATTCTCTTCTTAATGCATTTTTGTTCTTATTTAATTCAGCTGATTGTAATATCCCCTACCTATATTTATAATAATATGTATAATTTAAATTTCTTCACTTACCAAAATTACTTGCAAGATTGTCATTATTTTCTAGTTCCCAAGCATTCTGTGAAACAGAAAAAAAGGAACGCAAAAAAATAATTTAATAAAAAATTTCAATTACCAATTAAAACTTACCGGATCAACATCAATACCCAATGGGCCCATTGTTACATTGGCATTATCCAACATATTACTGCGTATGGTTTCATAACGAGCCTTTGATTCCTCCGATGTAGTTAAATTAAATGTTTCCACTGGTTTATCCGATTGATCACCTGTGGCCTGATTCGATGAACTTTCGGAATTTTCTTCTTCTTGTATTACATCCCAACGCATAGAATTAATATGAGCTGGAGGTAAAAATGGATTAGTGGGTGTAATAGATGTGGAACGATTGCTACTACTACTACCACCAGAATCGTCGGTGGTTTGGCGTGTTGTCACTTGTGTATTCGATGTACCAAAACTAGTTGAACTATAATCACTAAAATCTAGCACAAAACTATCATCATCATCATTTGTTCCATCAACACTGGGACTGATAATCTGAAGGAATGAGAAAAAATATTAATATTTTATGATAGTATCGAAATTTTGTTTGTTTACCCACCTGTTGATTTACAAATTCATATTCCAGTGGCTCATCTGCACCAGGAAATGCCTGCACCAATTCATTCATAACCTCCACAACCAATTGCATTGACGGCCTTAAGTCGGGTCGTGTTTCCCAACATGAAGTCATTAAATTCTGTATGGGCAATGGCCATTCGGGTACAATGGGTGGTCGTTCGCCTTTATGTATTTTCCACATAATTGAATATGTATTATCGACATCTTTAAAGGGTTTTTGTCGTGACAGCACTTCCCACAATACGATGCCCCAACTGAAAATATCACATTTTTCGGTATACTTGGAACCTTCAAACACTTCCGGTGCCATCCATGCTGCTGAACCTTTATTATTTGTCATGAGCGTTGATTTATCGGCTACTGTACCGAAATCACAAATTTTCAAATGGCGTCCCTTATTGGTAAGCAGTAGATTGAGAGGTTTTAAATCACGATGTATAAGAGGTTTTGGTTTCATAGCATGTAAATAGGCGACCCCCTGTAAAGAAAAGGGGAGAGTGATTGCAGGTGTTTGAGGAAATGAAGATTTAGATTTACATATATTTTATTGGTCTCTCATCATCAGCAAAAATTAAAATATAAATAGGACCGTTGGTCTAAAACCTTTCAGACTTAGTGTTCCCGACTGTTAATAGCATCTATCAATTACTTCTAAATATCTGCACTTCAATTTTCTTGTGCCATACTTGTTCCTACTTTTACAAATATATTTAACGGCGATTCTGTGATGATCCTAAAGGACTTTGTAAAGAGAGGATGGTAGAAAAGAAAAAGACTGAAGGGAGATTTAGATGTTGGGGTTCTTAGCTCGTTGCTATTTTCTGCGGCATTCTGACGCTAAAAAATTGCATCACTTTTCCGACAGTTCGCAAAGCAGAACCAATCGAGCAGATTTATAGATGTGCAATAATCCTATGCGCGAACTACAATCGTTATCCTTCACGTCAACGATGTAGATGAAATAATCCCAACCCAAAAGATATTCCTGAGATAGTGGTTGAAAAGATGCCGGGTAATGCTAGGTCCTAGTCCACATGCAAACACTCCTTCCGCACCCGGAATCCTATCCATGACGACAATAACACAGATACAGGTATTGATCATCTCTCTTTCTCTCTAGATATGTATCTTCTTCCGCACCCAAAAGGGGGAAGCCTATCCATGAGGTGACGACAATAACTCCGATACAGGTATTGAATCGACAGCAGCTTGTTGTGCGGATGTACGGATGAGACCCCTTACGTCCTTATTTTAGTATAGTAATGTAAGTGGTCTATCAGCGTAATGAGGAGACACCCTGTTGCAGTTGCAATGGAGTATCTCGCCAAGGACTTACGTTAGACCGCAGATCAGTCGATCGCTTAATAGGTTGCCAACAAGGGTTCTTTTCTGTCAGCTCTCCGAATACTGCCGGCTAGTGACTTGATAGTTGTGGTGTTCGCGGTCGAAATCTAGAGACTATCGTATGAGACATGCAGTGAAGAAATGTCTAAACATGCCAATTCCTTTCGTTCCTAATTTGCAAGGAGTTTAGTCCCAATGACGAGCGACAATCACTTTCATGAGCAGACCTTTCTGGTCAAATAACATAACTGTGTGAAAATCACGTTCTCCGATTTATCCCCATACTCTATGGGCAATATTAGAATTTCGCCATCTATTATCTTTTATTTTCCCCGTTCATAATAGACTTTGCTCAAATTTTCGTTTCATCTATTTTTCAAACGAATTAATCTGACCTCATCTTCATTATTGGTATTGGTAGCCTCATGGCCAACTAGGGTAGATACTACATGCTACGAAATCTTGATTTTAGACCTTAAGTTTCTTTGGACCAAATCCATTTCTGATCATTTGGATTAAATTTGCAAATGTCCCTCGGTATGATGTAATCGATTTCATCCAAACTTTATGCATTGTAATATTTTTTCGAAACATAAATCAACTTCAAAGTGGAAAATATCAGTCCTCTCCTTCTGGTACCTTTTGAAAATTAAGTACCCTGACACTTCCC